GTACCTATGGGGAAGTCATGGGAGGAAAATATGTTTCTTATGGTGTTTTTGAGATTTTAGATGATTAAAGAAAAAAAAACACATTGTGAACTTAGATAGACATCCGTCCTTCACACTCTTGTTCTGAATATGAATATCACTAGATACGTATTGAAGGAATTTTATGTAAACTTCACAAAGTGATAGAGACCTTTGAGAGGATGTGCAGTGTTCAAGAAACATAACTCTACCTTGCTTCATGTTTTAATTATCTCCCTTAAGTTCAAACTATCACTGAAATTACACCCAGTTGTACAGACTCGAATTTGCCAAGGTGTCAAAGAACTATAACAGTACTGCATTCCTTAGTTTTTTTAATTATCTCCCTTTATAATACATTACTTAATTATGCTTGCCAAGAGAAATACTGGAAAAGAGTTGATGGAATTTGATTAAAATTTTACACAGCGAAAACATTCAAGTGAAAGGAAGTGCATTTTCAAAGAACCAGAATTTTTCCAAGCTTAATTTTACAATTATCATCTCTTATAATACATCAACATTTAAAATATTGGTTGTCTGGAGTAAATCTTTTCAATGATATCTCACTCAAACTAAATACAGTTGTAGAGACTAGTGAGCAGAAGTGCTGTGTCAAATAACCAAAATTCTACATTACTTAGTTTTTGAATGTTCAGAGAGAGGATTAAAATATTGAAGGAATTTGATTGAAACTTCATACAGTGAAAGAGATTAGCATGAGAAGTGCAGTGAACACAAAAGTCATCATAAGTTCTAACGACATGGCCACATTCATATAATGTGATGCAAAAATATTGACCATTTGAGTGTTTTCTTGATACTGATACAGAAAATTTAATATATTTATATCACAATTGATTATTATGCCCCAACTTCAAAGAAGAGGGGGTATATTGCTTTGCATTTGTCTGTCGGTCGGTCTGTTGGTCTGTCGGTCCGTACACCAAATAGTTTCCGATCAATACCTAAAGAACGCATTGGCCTAGGAACTTCAAACTTGGTATGGTGATTGGTCATGACCAGCAGATGACCCCTATGGATTTTGCGGTCAAAGGCCAAGGTAACATTGACCTTATAAGTAAAACCGGTTTCCGATCAATAACTAAAGAACACTTAGGCCTTTGAACTTCAAACTTGGTATGGTGATTGGTAAGTAATAAAGTAAGTAATTGCATTTTATAGTCTAAGTTTCATGCTTACGCACGTTCACCGACTTTACAGCTATTACCCCTGATCATCGGGCTACTGGTATATCTATCTATCAATCTCCCTCGGGAGTCTTTTAACTCCGCTTTGTGCAGCCGACACTTTGGCGCAACGGATTTATACCACCCTCGCAGGTACCCATTTACACCTGGGTGAAGTGAAGCAATCGCAGGTAAATTTCTTGCTCAAGGAAATTAGCAGTGCCCTTAGTGGGGTTCGAACCCGGGACCTCTCGATCCCTAAGCGCGCGTCCTACCACTGGACTACTGCTCCTACTGGTCATGGACAGCAGATGACCCCTATTGATTTTGGGGTCAAGGGGTCAAAGATCAAGGTGACATTGACCTTATAAGTAAAACCGGTTTCCGATCAATAACTTAAGAACACTTAGGCCTTTGAACTTCAAACTTGGTATGGTGATTGGTCATGACCAGCAGATGACCCCTATTGATTTTGGGGTCAAGGGGTCAAAGATCAAGGTCACATTGACCTTTTAAGTAAAAACCGTTTCCTATCAATAACTAAAGAATGCTTAGGCCTAGGATATTCAATCTTTGTATGGTGATTGGTAATGACCAGCAGATGACCCCTATTGATTTAAAGGGAAAAGGGGTCAAAGGTCAAGGTCACATTGACCTTGTAAGTACAAACGGTGTCCGATCAATAACTAAAGAACGCTTAGGCCTAGGAACTTAAAACTTGGTATGGTGATTGGTCATGACCAGCAAATGACCCCTAATGATTTTGGGGTCAAGGGGTCAAAGGTCAAGGTCACATGGACCTTGTAAGTAAAAACGGTGTCCAATCAATAACTAATGAACGCTTATGCCTATGAACTTAAAACTTGGTATGGTGATCGGTCATGACCAGCAGTTGACACCTTTTGACTTTGGGGTCAAGGGGTCAAAGGTCAAGATCACATTGACCTTGAAAGGAAAAACGGTGTCCAATCAATAACTAAAGAACGCTTCTTAAAGGCCTAAGAACTTCAAACTTAGTATGGTGATTGGTCATGACCAGTAATTGACCCCTATTGATTTTGGTGTCAAGGGGTCAGTGTCATATTTTGTTCACTGGGTCAGATGTTGTGCATAATAACCTAATCACATGACTAATTGCCTGCTGATAGGGGGCATACATGTTTCACAAACATATGTCGTTTTTATATAGCTTTGTCTCCCTTTATTATGTCATGTGTTAAAAAGGTCGTGCTTGCAGTTTCCTCTGGTAGCTCTTATTTCACTTGGTGTTTTTGTCTAAAAAGGGCCAATAACGGTTTGTGATGGACTTTCACGTACATGTTACCTAAATATTATATTTGAACATGTATGTCATAGAATAATTGTATCAACTACTGTTCATTTACTGAATTGTGCACTTTATATTATCAACCGGCAACACCCATCACTCATTAAATTATCTAAATAATAGTAAAAAATGGTTATTTTGATCCTTCAAGAACGTCCCAACTGCAGTGCCTTCAGCACTTTGATTTGAAAGGCTGCCATCTAAGAAAACAATTATCAGATACCAATAAATGATGAGTTTTTATATATTGATTTAAAAATTACATGAAACACTCTTAAATGCAATTCCTATGTAAGTTTGAAGACAACTGACGTTCCTTTTCTTTCTCTATTTTGTTTGAAGATAGAACGATTGATTTTGCCAGGAGAAGTTTCAATAGTTCATCAAACGTATATTCTTGCTTTCTTCATATTATACGTATATTATTATTGAATAAGAAATGTATTAATTAATAATATATTGGTTTTCACATAAATAAGCAAAAAATCGAGTATTGGTCAAATAATTAATTTATCAATTGATTTATGCATATATTACTTGCTAAATAAATTTGCATTTCGAGTTGGTTTTTGGAATTTCCTTTTGGATTTTATTTTTTTTGTCTATTTTACAACATAATTCATGTAAAATAACTTTATATGTCTTTTTGTTTACTATCAAAAATAGAGATAATCATATGAAATGGAATATCATTACTCTGCATTTCTATCAATGGAATTTTGTAAAGAATATCCCATAGCTCTGCTCTCTCTTGATTTTTTTTCTTAAAGGGACTCCACTGAGGTTTTTTTGACATGACTGGGCTGGAAATAATTGTTACAGATGATTAATGATTCATTTAATGTAGGGTAAGGACAATATCCTCTGGTCAAAATTTCAGATCATTTGCTAATTCCATTTTCGCTGAATTATTATTTTTTTGAAAAAATGACCCGAAACTAAACAGAGTTGAAACGCTTTTCACCCAAATCGAGCTAGGAATAGCACAAAATACGATTTTCTATTTATTTCTGAATATAATTCTTAATTATCTTTTGTATATTTTTCTGTTTTAAAATGCCCAGCTAATTTATGTCAAAAATTCAGATTTTATATTTTCGTCAGAAATCCATTTTCAACAGTTATATAATTGTGATGTTGACAACTAAAGTGATGGGCCGCTCTTGAATTATGGATTTGGAACATACTGAATTATGAAGTGTTTAATTTACATATTTCATTTGCTAACCCAGATATCTCCACAAATTGAAAAATGTTTTAATAATGAGACGGATTAACAGTTAAAAACATCTGAATCATAAGTGTAGGAGTCATATCCTTCAGGAAGTAAAAAATGGGAGCTACGGAACTGGATAGAAAATGGCAATGAAGGAATCTTAAGAATGCGAATTTTTCGTGACGTTTATAAAGATTAATTTCGATTTCATAGGGATTTTATTCAGCTTAAAAGTAAGTGCAATTTCTAGATCTACTCCATGTCAATCGGTGTTCTTGTTGCTTATTTTTCCTTTTTTTAAAGTTTTCCAACTAAACTAGTACTGTTACATCTTGTAGATCCAACTTTGTAAAATAATCATGAAACGACCCCGAAAACCTCATGTTTATTTTAGAAACATGACACGTGCTTTATCCCGTTCATCTTCAAATGAAAAGTACTTCGACAATGGCTACGGAAAATAAACAACAGAGAGTTACCATAGAGGAATCAAAATTTGACTTCACAAGAAAAGTAGACACTTTAGAGAAAAATCCTGAAAAATCTCGAGGGTGACTTTTTTTTAGTTTACAAAAATAGTTTAATTTTTATTCAACCTCGTTTTGTTAATTCATAACAAGCAAAAGTTCATTTCCATTTTTAATGGGACAGACTATAGTGCCAGAACATCAGCATAAGATACACCTTTATATTTTCTTTCAACAAAAGGGCGGTTTTTAATTTCGTTTGTTAATATATAGATGATATTTAAGTTTTTTTCTATAAATAAAGGATTTATTTTCATCGAGTGCTATGGAAATTAATATTTCATGAGTGACTGCAGCCACGAGTGTAATAAGATAATTTTCATACCACATTATGTGATCCGACAAGACACCAGTGAAAATACTGAAAATATGTTTCTCAGCAGTGAAAAATAAATTTTACAGTTAAAATACGGAAAATAAAAAAAAACATTTTATTTCATCAATATTGCATTTATAAGAACATGCATATAATAAAATGTAGTATACATTGTATTCAGTACGCGTACAGGCGATACAATTATTTATTCTGCATAAACAGCAATCGGTCTATTTACTGTATTATGATAGCATCATTGAGCAAATTGTCTCAGAGATCGAGATCAAGCCTCCATGCTACCACGAAATGTCACGTGATTCCTAGTCTGAGATGCAGATCACGACCTTTTCCAGCTAGATTGACAGAGTATAAATAAAGCCAGAGTAGAAATGTTTTGCGGTATACTTTACACGCTAGAATGAGACGAAGATGACTTCTAACTACAGATTGTTAAACACAATTTTCTTCATTATTCTAGGTAAGTTTATTATTATTATTCTTTCTATTATTATTATTAAATTGAAACTTTCTTTTTTTTGATGAATTTCTGGCGAATATTATCTTATTTTAATATACATTTGTCGATTAGAAATTTCACATATGCGTACAATTCGTAATATCTTGTGACGTCTCGTAAAACTTTACCTTTCTTGGGTTAAAATTATCGAGGGACAGGAGACGAAGCGCTTGCACACTTGGTTTAAAACTTGCATGCCTCCATATTAGCCAAACTGTTTCAAGAAAATCAAACTTGAGAAAAATGTACTCCAATTTAAGAAAATTAATAAAGATTCGAAATTCAAGTAATACTTAACATGTTATGTGCGATTGAGGACTGAATTTGCAGTATAAATCATCATACTTTTACTGCGTTACTAATGCAGTAAGGGCTATGTTTGCTTATTTTTATTACGTTTTTGGCAATTTTCGTGGATTGCAAGTGCTGCTTGTAATGTGTAAATTAGTTTCTTTGTAAATTTCACAATATTTTACTTTTAAACACATTTTTAAAATTTTACGAAAATCAACATGAATCTGGAGGCATGCTGCCTTAAGCGAGCGAAATTGTTGCAAACTTTCAACCGAGCCTGCAACATTTTCAATTTTGCCGTGTTGGGCTTTCTTTAGGGACTCTGTATTTATCTATTTTATGATCACATCCGTGTTATTTGTGCCGTGTGGCGGCTGTAAAAAGTCTCCCCGTACATTTAATCAATGATGTTATATTTTCGATCCTTGAAGATCGTTCAGCACGACATTATTGTTGTGCTTGTGGTATTTTTAGTTTCAACTTTTCGGCATTTTCTAGTTGGGTGGTTCCAATATTCCTACTTGAATAATGTTGAATCACCCTTAGGATATGTTGCCTGCTTTTTAAATTTGTCTTTTGACGTCTTATCTGTGATACGCAGGCTTCATAACCTCTGATCCCCTTTCAAAATTCCATTTTATTTAGTTCCGCCCATTGTTTTCTCGTTTAGGGCACACGCTTTTTATTACTTGGGGACCATACGCCGCTTTTCATGGAATGGCACGGAAGTGTCACATTGAAGGTTCCATGATAACCGCCGTATGAAAACATCTGCGGATGTTTCTAAATTCAAAATTTTACTATTTCACGTTTAAATGTTGAATTCTGCTTAAGCCGGTGCTAGGGGGCGTGGACGGTAACTTGCACTTTCCAGTACCGTCCATGAACAGGCTCAATCAAACCGAGCCTGCAACATTTTCAATTTTGCCGTGTTGGGCTTTCTTTAGGGACTCTGTATTTATCTATTTCAAATTTTTTACCGAGTCGTGTAAATTTATTACGCCTCCCCATATTTTTTTCAGGTAAGTGGGTTTGTATATTATTTTGAACTTTTTGAATATGATTATGCATTTGTGATAGTTTGCTTGCTTTTGTAAATTATATTTCCACGTCCCTTTGATATTTTTAGGATTTTCCTTATTGAGTTGTAAATTGCTATCATTTATTGATACGCGGACTCCATGTCCCATTTTTGTGCCCTCTCTTATTTCTGTTCGATTCTCTACTGGGTGCCTTTGCGGTGGTTAACATGGAATTTCCGAGTTCAATTCTGCAATTATGCAATATTTTTTGTGTTTGTATGGTTTTTACTTTCAAAAAACATTTCCATATTCTCTTATAAACCTGTGATTTATAATTTAAAGTTAAGCTTACAACGGTTTAGCAAAATTGAATGTATTTGATTTTAACAGTCATTGAACAGATTGAATAGTATTGTCAATTTAATACTATTTAAAACTCTGAATTCAGTTTGCTACATGTTTTAACAATTTCGACTCAGTTGTATATTTATATATTTAAATATCGTCTAATCCTAATTTATCACTCAAATCACGACTGTGCGTGTTGCCACTAACTTAACCTGTCGAAAGCGAATGTATGTAAAACTAAATGTTCTCAAATAGTATTGTATAAACTAAATTCACGAAGACCTAAAATCCAGATCGTTGTAATCAATATAGAAAAACAAAAAATATAAGAAAAGAAAAAATGCCCTTTCCAGGAATCGAACCAGGGTCTTTACACTGACGAAGCCAATACTGAACCACTACGCTATTACGCTGAACAGTTAAAACTGAGGACTTATTTAGGTGATTAAAGATTTAGGCGATAAATAATATGCTTTTATAGAAGAATTACCTATTTGTCAATATTGATGTAAACAGATAATGAAAGGAATAGCGAATTCGAGTTGTACCCCATGATTATACAGAAAACTCGACTTACAACAATACCGCTTATAATGATATACCGCTTATAACGATGTACCGCTTATTACAATGCTGTTGCCCCAGTCCCTAATCATGTTTTCGAAATGGTTGCCTCTCGGAAATGTAAACGCCAGTGCACGCCCTTTATCTTAGAGGTGTGGCTACTGTTATTATTATAATATTATTATGAATTATTATAATACGAGTATAGAAAAAAGTAAATGTATAACAACGATGCTTACAGTAATTAATAAATATACAGTTAATATTACCTAGGTCCAAGAAAACAAAGGACTGGCTAGTTGATGTTGCATGATATAGAGTAACACAATTAAATTAAAGCATTGATAATACGTTTTGCGGCAAGGGAAGAAAGAAAGAAAATAACAAAACTTTCTCACAGTGGCTGATGTGCAAGGAAAGTCAGTATAAGAAAGACAAATTGTAGTGGGCCTCTTGTGGGTAGTAGTCATAAAAATATCATGAAAGTTCTTTTAAGATAGAATATTCCTTTAAGAAATCGCCATGCTTTTTATGAAATATTAATATATCTACTTTATCTACCTCGAATTCCTTTAGAGTGACATCATCATGCCGATACAAGGGTATATAGTAAGTGAATATATGATTCATATATCTATCTAATATAACTATCTAGAATGAAAGAAAAGGTCTAACTAAGAAAATGAATCCGAACACCTATATCTTTAATTCAGTCGTTAACGCTGTACAGACGTTTGAAGTGTTGTTTAGATGACGTCACAATGTAGCGCCAAACAGCACGTGCAAAAACAATCAAATCAAGAACATTATTTCAACGTCGCAAACGAGTTTTATTTCACATTTATTTCACTATAAAATACTTCGTATTGCGTTTGAAAACTATAGAGTGAAAAAAAAATAAACAAAGTTTTATCAACGTTTTAAAATTCGTTATTTTCAAAATGTTTATACACACGGTAGATTTAACGACAGTTTTTTTCCATTGACCCACTGGAACAGCCTTTAAATAATGTTTCTATTGGAAACTCTGGGGCGAAAACAAATTTAAAGTCCAACTTTATAATAATCACTATATTTTTTCTTGACGTGTCAGAATGGAAATAGATATTAATTCTTCGTGCATTATGGTATAATAATACACGTTTTTTTCGTTCGGCCTTTCGGTCTTCGTGATTATATTACTACGCATTTGAACTCAAACCGTGCATTATACTACAACAATGCACTCAGAAATGATATCTATTTCAAAAACAATGCACTCAGAATTGATATCTATGTATTTCCTAAATATAATCGGAAAAAGTAGAACTGGAGTGACGGCTCTATTCAATCAATCGCCTTATGTTTTCGTTTCCTACATGTCCCATACCAACATTTTTCAAACGGTTTAAACTAAAGTTTGGTGCTATCTAAGTAAATCAGGACAGAAACTTAATATTGAAATAAATTAATTTTTTCGTAAATCAAGGGAACGATTTTTGAGTTTCGATCTAAAAAGTCATAACAAAATATATTTACGATACCATACGATTATTTAATTACAGGAATAATTACCAAATAAATTCTAACATGAAGCGATATATTTTTTATTTTTATTTATTTCATTTCATTTCCAATAGGCTAATACGCACATGAGTACAACATATAACATATTATATATAGCATGACAGAGTATTGTTATAAATTGTCTTCTCCCGTAATTTATATTTTCTACTACTTTCATAATTCCACATAAAAATACACAATAACTGTTCTTAATTTCATTTCACTGTTTATTTGTTGAAAATGTTCTAAATTTCTACTCTACAATTAATAATAATAGTTACAGAGTTTTTCTTCCTCACACATGGTTGATAAGTAACTGAGAATTAACTCTCAAAAATCCATATCCCGACTCTAGCTCTTACAATCTCACTCTTGCATTTTGAATCTCGTTCTTCAATCTTCAATCGAGAATGTCCCCTAGAAAATCTTGTCCCAGTATTTATATGAAATACATTGTCTCTCCATATTTGGAGGTTACCATAGTGTTAATTGACAAATCTAAGCCTTCTATATTTATGACGACAAGTGTTGACCAGAAACAAACACACTGATTCCTGGAATATTTATGATGATAACCAATGATTGAGTTCCCTAAACACAACAATTGCAGGCCTCTTGTTCATAATTTATGCAGGTAACTGTTGACAGAGTTACTATACTAAAATCTCCCAGACTGATACACAGTCTAACCCCAACAGATTTATAGTAATAAATAATGACTACAAACGAGGTCTCAATTCTCATACAAACTCAATCATTTAATCAAACCTTAACCAGGTGCCTTGCTAAAACTACAACAGTATTATACAGAGAGATATACGTCTATAACGGGTCATCTCTGTCCTCCAGACATCAAGCTATAAGAACAACTCTCCGTGAAATGTTAATCATGACTTGCACCGCTCGCTTACCGTGCTCAGTGGCCCATTGTTATCACTATTATTATTATTATTTTATTATTATTATTATTATTATTATTACGTATCATTGGTGTGTGGGGGTGAATGGGTTTAACGTTGCAACAGCACAGGTCATATGGCGACTTTCCAGCTTTACTGGAGGAGTAAGACCTCAGGTGCCCTTCCGTGCATTATTTCAGGCACGAACGGGCACGTGAGTAGAACCACCGACGTCCCGTAAGCTAGCTGGATAGCTTCCTCACATGAAAGAATCCAAGTCCCTGTCGGGATTCGAACCCACAATGGCGAGGGGCAAGTGGTTTGAAGTCAACGACCTTAACCACTCGGCCACGGACGCCCCATATTTTTGTGAATGGACACGTCAATATATTTTGACTATATGTTATTATAGAAAACAACAAGCAAGAATGCCATTTTATTAAAGTTGAGATAAAATGTATGATGAGGAATTACATATATGTCATTTTGTTAGTAAACTTTGCTTCATTTATTCAATGCTCACAGATGAAATATACCGATTTCCGTGGTCTGCTCCCAGTTATTTTGTTTACCTCTAAACACAAAGTAAAACTTTTTAATATCAAGATGTCTGAGCCCATCTAAAAATGCTTTGGACTTATACGTGCAGTTTAGTATCGTCACGTCTCAGTGAGTTTCAACAAACATAAAGTTCTTCCTTCTAAAGAGAAGGAAGAATCACTTGTGAATATTAACTTCGTTATGCTCGCTAAATATTCTGCAGTTTGGAATTGACAAAGGCGAGCTAGGATAAAATAAATTCATGAAATTCATAAATGCTGGCCCGTTACATGTCTCCATGCCAAAGCTAATCGTTTTCAAACCATTAGAAGCAAAGTGATTCTACGTAATATTTCTTTAGTATTTTATATAAGAAAATATAATTTTAATTGTTAAAGATTTATGAAGCAATGATCACACGCTTTTCAGATCTATGACAAAAATGATTAAACGCTTTTAAGATGACTTTAAAGATGCTCTGTGAAGTTTTTTTTTGTTGGAATATAATGGAGAGCCATTTTCAAATAAATGGTATTCATCATCAAAACTGTCACTTGATGCGAAGATCAAAAACGTGTTTAATGGCGTAATTTGCAGTTACTCTTATTCATTATTCTTTCATATATCAGCAATATAAATTGCCTTTGGTTATTTACAAACTATTCATGTTATTTTGACAAAGATGCGTTTTTAACATAATATATTTATGTTTTTATAATAATGCAAATAAATTTCTCGAATTCTGATTGGCTTAACCACTTATATACTACTAGTACACCGTATATACGGCGAAGAACCTATAATCACGCAAAAATGTATTTCTGCATCGTAGACAGTTAACACGAGCATGCATACGATGGTGAAAAGTTGAAATAGTGAAAAGTGACACTATGATAAAAAGTCAAAAGTACAATGGTAAAAAGTCGAAATAACGTACGAAATCACGATGGTGCAAACTCAATATAATTTCGTGTTTTCACCATCCTTCTTTCAACCTTTCATCGTCGTGGTTTCATTATTTCGACTTCACCATCGTCCTTTCGAGTTTTCACCATTGTATTTTCGTCTTCCTGTTAAGCACGCGCACTGAATGGCAATCTATATAAAGATATCACCGGTAAACAGTTAACGTTTGAAATTAAGCAAAACACACAATATACTTATCTTACAAAGCCATTAACAATAATATTTTGTAATTGTATCTTTAGTAAAATTATTTCCTTAAATCGTCATCCATTGTTATGATCTATCAAACGGAAGGCGGTACGACGATGAAAAGTCGAAACCACGTTGATAAAAAAATCGAAAGTACATACGATATTTCAACTTTACACCATCGTACTTTCAACTTTTTATCATCGTACCTTCATGGTTTCGCTATTTCGACTTTTTGCCATCGTGTTTTCGTTCTTTCGAATTATGTGTACGTGTATGTCGCGATGTGCCTCACGGAACACCGGGGGATAATAACTTTTTATTGTCACTTATTCTTTTACATAGCAGTAAAGTAAATTTGTTGATATGATGCCTAAATGATTTTGCAATGCTTTTGTTTGGTGTCCTGTTGAACTTCTCGCCTGTGGTTCCGTGCTGCTGGATTCTGCTGGAATGCGCTCTTTGAATGTCACCCTTGTTGATCTTTGTTTTCATATTTTAAGCAAAGCATCATTTACAAAGCATTAAATTTTTATAGTGACAATAGTGAGAAAATCATTATCACAAAGTCTTTGTTTTTTATAATAATAATAATAATGATGATGATGATGATAAATTGCGACTTATTAAAAGATTTTCACATTCACACGATTTATTTATATGCTTTAATAGAAAATTCTTTTGATATTCCATCTACATTTTTCTCAAGTATTAAACTTTTTTTTTTGAATCCCTAAATATCAATCTTCTGTGCCTTCAAAATTCCAAATTTTACAATCTCACGTTAAAATAATAAATGTTGAATACTGCTTAAGCCGGGCTAGGGGGCGTGGACGGTAACTTGCACTTTCCAGTACAGTCCATGAACAGGCTCAACAAACCGAGCTTGCAACATTCTCAATTTCATCGGTCTGTGCGTTCTTTAGGGATTCTTTATTTCTTTCTATTTTAAGTACGGCAATGTAATTGGGCAATCATTGGTTTCATTTCTCTTATTTAGGACAACCGCTACAAGAAACAAACAAACACAAATTGTGGTGAAATGGTCAGTGAATGACCTTATTTATTTTTAAACACAGTATCTACAACATACACAATATTCGGAATTTAAAGGCCTTTAAAATAAGTTCCTTTTTTCCTTTGTTATCTAAATTTTTCTAATCTTATTTTTTGTAATTTTTACTGTATTGTATAATTGATTCGTATAAAAAATACAGGAAATATCTCGGCGTTGCCAGCAATTAAACAGGCACCTGAGCATACTCTCAAGACATGTACACAAAGGAAAGGATATGAAATTAAATGTGAAGACTTCAGTCAAGGTAGGAAAATCATTAAACTTGCTATATTTTTCTTATTCGTGGAGTGCCATAAAATAACATTTAACTGTGTGACAATATGTAAATTATGTGATACTAATACTGTGGAACATGAATATCATTTCTTGTTAAACTGTCGTGCAGCATACATACACAACCAAATATTTATCAATTTGATATCATCATGCCGACTAGAAATGAAGAAATTATAAAGTCTGTTGCAATGTACGTATATAGCATTCAAAAAAGAAAACGATAAACATGTATACAAGATTTATGAATAAAATTGTGAATTATACATTTTTGTTAAAAAAATTGTTATATTTTATTGAAATTTTTGTACTTGTATAGATCTATATCTTTGATACATTCTTTGCATGGGCCGGAGGCCTTTCAGAGAATATGGTTGTTGTATGATACTTTTTAAAAGGTTTGTAATTTATTGGAATAAAGATTCGTTAAAATTTTATGTAACTTTTAGTTCATTTTATATAAAGCGTTTGCTTTATCATTTCACTACTTCCAATTTCCACAGAGGAGACGGATGACAATGTAAGTCGGTGGCCTCCTGGGCCTTACGTTATCCCTATGACACTTCACGGTTGCCCAGAATCGTCAATGTATGGATGGCAAGAAGGTTACCTGGATATTACATGGCAAAGTCCACAAAATGCACATGTGCTCATTAGTGGCGATGAGGATTCTTTTGACAAAGTTATCAACGTGTCTAAAGAACACTTCTTTGAAACATCAGATAGACACATTCTTGTTTCACGAAGCCCATATGAGTTCAAATTTGGCTTTTGTTATAAAGTCATAAGGAACATATCTGTAGACATTGGTTTTTGGCCAAATTGGGATTTCAGTATTTATGGGACAGAAAATGGATGCCCTGAAGGTAAGCTTTATTGTTTGTCCAAATAGTAAACTTTAAACTTTGTCATGAAGGTAAGCGTTTTTCTATACCCAAATGTGAGCTTTATTCTAGGTAAAAAATAAAGCTTTATTCCAAGTCCAAAAGGTAAGCTTTTTCCTATATCCTAAAGGTAAATTTTATGCTATGCCCAAAGTGGTAAGCTAAATTCTATTTCCAAAGGGTAAGCCTAATTCTATGTCCAAAATGTAAGCTTTATTCTATTTATTCTATGCCCAAATGGTAAGATTTATCACATGTTTACCACAAATGCTACACATTATTAAATTGTTATCTAGGGAAAGGAAACTTACTGTTTTCAAGACAACGAGAGAGGACCAAACCAGTAATTAATTTTGGTTTTCTTGTGAGCGTGACTTTTAAAAATTGTGTATTCTTAGCCATAACATCTATCGTGCTACATCATCTTGTTAAAATGGTCTAGTTGAAAACTTAATGAAATATAATAGTATATTTAATAGATATTGATTTGCACGTTTTGAGAAGCTTGTGAACGCATTTGCATATACATGTACACATTTATTTTAGATACGTTTGCCTAATAGTATCTTACTAGTATAACAATATTTATTTTATTTTCTTCGATTTTATGATAGATGAATGATATATATTTATATTTAGCTAAAATTCATAAATTAGTGATTATGATTTAATTTCAGGTTTCGTTCAAAGTTCATCTCGAACAGTGTTACCAAATATTTCTCACTGGGATTCTCACGGCCATTTGCCGGATTTTGTTTTAACAAACAATGGGACGAATGGTAAGCTTAAAAATGCTAAACTTAACACCTGCATTTATGGTACTGCATAGCACAGACTTAAGCAATATAGTATATAAAAGCCTCACCGTTTAATTCAGTTATCATGAAAATTCAGGAAAAGTAACTGCAATTAGATGGAGCTTCGTCCATGAACAGGCTCAATCAAACCGAGCCTGCAACATTTTGATTTTTGTTGTGGACTTTTTATAGGGATTCTAATTTTCTATTTTTTACATATTGACCATGGTCATTTTGAGACACCTTTTCTTTTAAAAGATTATCTTAACAACTGATTTAATGAACTGACATTCAAATACAGTATTCATAACATGCCTGTTATTGTTATTGCTGTTAATGTGCTGTAGATGTAGACATTTAATAATAGCAGTATAACTAATTGAGAAAACAATCGTTTATATTATAATTTTCATTCCATTTAAAGGTGCTACATACCATATTTGAAATACAAACTTACTTAGAATTTATTAAAAAGAAATAATTTTATGATTTTTATGAAGTTGAAAAGTGCTTTTCAATCCGGGACCAACCCTTTAAAAATTCGAAAAACTGCCTAAGCTATTTAGAAATTGAAGTAAATTATTCTAAAGGGCTACACAACCGAAAAGCATACCATTTTATGTCTAGACAAATGAAATTATTCAAAGTACAAAATGTCATGTAATAAATTACTATTCTATATATTAGGAAAAAAGGCTGTTTAATAATGGTGCTGACGTTTTATTTCACATATGAGCAATTAACTTTTATTTGATTTTTTATATTCCCCTCCGAATACTATTCCTGAATTATGATAAGGTGGTCAGTTAGGAGTTCTTTATGGTAATTTATTTGGACATTTTTACTGCAATAAAACAGAAATGCACATTTGATTTATTTTTATATCAATCATTTCAAGCTTGTACATGTATTTAGTTTTCGTTTCACATTGACAGAGGAGCAGTCTCACAATAAATATTGTGTAAAATATAAAACTTCACAAATGTTCATCAAAACATTCAAAAGGGATGTTCATATGCCATATATGTGCTTAATAACTTAAACTCTAACGTTTTTATTTCTATTTAGATATTCTTCAAATAAGCCTTTGCTCCCGAAACACTTCACGTGATAAACAAACTAATGCTACTGAAACTGACAACAATGATAGATATTCTGAGTTTATTAACTTATCGGGAATGATGAACAAACCCTATTGGACAAGTTTCTTCCTTATCAAAGCAAGTATTTTACTTACCCTGTAAACTTTATCATCAATTTTTTTTATACCTAACCCAGCGCACATATCTTCTTTGCTTTGCTATAGTAAGTTAATAATTCTGATAGTTTTCTGATAGCTAAGGGACATTTTTTCCTCATGTTATGCATTCTAAATGCCGGTGTAACGTTTTATTCAGTGCTAGTTGTAATCTGAATAAACTCCGATGTCTACTGGAATAAAGCAACTGAACTATTTTCTTTGATAGGGGGATTCAATTTCATGCCCGACACATAGAAATGCGATTGAAAGCGAAGAAAGTTTATATCTGGAACAATATAGCACCGACAAAGATGTCAAAATGATGCTGGCGACCGATACATTTTGTTATTATGAATTAAATACATATACTGACGGTAAGTTTATTGATATTCCCTTTGCAAAGTTTTTAAAGCAAATAATGCAAATGATATTTAACCAATCACATAGGAGGTTTTGATGTAACAAGAAAGTGAAAATATAAACTGTTTAATAAGATATTATACAGCAATAGAAACACCTATGACTGTTTCCCTCTATTTGGACAATAAAATAAAAATGCATTTATATACCAATGTCAAGAATGAATATAGTTTTTTTAATGTTTTACTGTATAGAAATGGAGATGTGGCTCCTAGAGAAAAGATTAAAGAATGGTAAGAAAAACTTGCTTATTTGCCACACATAATTCGTGCTCTGTAAAGTAAATATATAATCTGAAGCTGTAAAAAAAACCCTCAAGGTCAGTTGGCAAATTTTAAACAAATTTTAAAATATAGATTAATGAGGACAGGCAGATATAAATTCATAATTTGAGTGACATTTTGCAATGGAAAGTTATGACGAATTTGCATTTTTGATTCTGATACTGTTACTGTGCATATCTTGACAATCTATGTGCAATATTTCTGCAGATATTAGATATGAGTAATATCCCTTTACTAGATTGTTTTACTTATATTATATTCCTTTGTTTTACCAAGAAGCGCGAATTCTTGACAGCACATTTCGTTTAGCGTGATGCCTTTGAGCTTGATTATTCCTAAGTCTATATGAGCCGCGTCACGACAAAACCATCCGCTCAGTCTGACCAGAATCCACGTTGTTCGCTATCAGTTTTTCTACTTGTAATAGAGTTGGTAAGCGAACAGCATAGATCCTGATCAGAATGCGCGGATGCGCAGGCTTGTCTGGATCTATGCTGGTAGCAAACGCACTATGTAATTTTAGCAAATCACTAGTTCAACTTACTATCTTTGAGCATTTTAAGGAAAATTTAAAGAATAAAAATGTTAAATTATAAAAAAAAGATTAAATGTCTTGTGTTAAAGTAATGATTGCTTAAAGAGATAAATTATTTCATATGTTGCACTTGCATTTGTGTGAACGTAGTTTAAAAGTTAATATGTATAAAGCTTCCTGTGAAAAAAGGCATTTTCATTTTTTATTTTTTTTATTTTAGCGTACAGTGTTTATGTTTTAAGTGTAACTGAAGGTGTATACACAACAACAAAAGTTTGTAAGTAAACTAGTTTTTATGTTTGTCTGTCTTAGGTTACGGAAAAATTCTTGATAAACAATGATAAACAAATTATTATTTTTTTCACGTCAATGAACTTATTCTTCGCTTTCATAAAATGTTTGTAATGTCTTTCATAGAGAGTTAATGACAATTTCTGTGAAAGAATAATTTCAAAACATTACGAAAACGGGGGTTGGATTCCAGCTAATGCATTAAACTTAAAAACTCAATTTTACATTAAGTCTGATTCAACGATGTGAACATGTTACACACATAATCAAAGTAGACAAACGAAATTACTGTACTCTGTGTTACGAGCCTGTGTAATTCAATGTATACCATGCATTTCTGTCATTAGCACTTGCTACTTCCGAAAACTGTTCCTTTCTGGTAGAACCAATCGGAACATCTCGGATATCATTAATAATAACCTCGGGTACCAGGTCGTTTTAGATATAAGCAAATACAGAGGGTGTAATCATTGATATGTATAACAAATGCATATATTTGACACCCAAATAAAGTCTATTTCGGTAAAAACTATGACTGATATTATGTCTGGCATCATAATCAATTATTATTGTAACCAAATCCAAAATAATGTCAACAGGTAGACATTTTGTATTTTCGGTTTCTACAACCATAAAAATAAGTGAATAAATAATGTATTGTTTTCTTTTATATTTATTTATATACTTAATTTAGATGGACTTTTACTCGAGATATTGGTTTAAATTTAGTCACTAACTTGCATTAAATTACTATAATTTGTTTAGATGTTTAGTTTCTTAACGTAGATTAAACCGAAACACCATATCGAGGTTCTAATCCGACAGGGACTTTGGATTCTTTCATGTGAGGAAGCTATCCAGCTAGCTTACGGAACGTCGGTGGTTCTACTCAGGTGCCCCTTCGTGCCTGAAATAATGCACGGAAGGGCACCTGAGGTCTTCCTCCACCAGTAAAGCTGGAACGTCGCGATATGACCTATACTGTGTCGATATTACGTAAAACCCAAAACAAACAAACAAATCTAATCCGAAGTTTGACGGAAAAGGCCGAGAAGAAACGATCGTTTTAGCCTATGTATTTTAACTTGTGGCTTTCTTGCGACAACAAAAAGTTGACTTGTATATACAATGGAAAAATTGTTCCTGAAGACATAGAAATAGTAGCAGTCATTGCAAATCATTAAAAGAGTTATTACATTTTAATAATTTGCAGTTATAAGTTATCTTAAATAAGCTCTATTTGTTGTGAACTCTCACTGTTTTGTTATATTCAATAAGATTGGTTCATGGTTGTAAACAAGGACTATTACTGGAAAGTTATTGACCTTGGGAAAACTATTGCTGTTTCTGCCGTTGACGTTACAACCACTAATGGTTAGAAAATACATGTATAATAAGTAATTAATATTAACTTACAGAATATAATTATGTAATAAAGTTTTCCTTCCTTGAAGAACTTAAGATTTTGTTAGTATTTTCACTATTTTGTTCTGTATCTCTACTTATATCTTTAATTACATTATGAGCTTTACATAAAGTTTTATTTTGATTTTCGTCATATTACTATATACGAGGGGTGATCAAGAATTACGTAGACTGGCTCAATATCTCATTTATTGTTTGACAAACGTACATAAAACTTATATCACATGAAAGTACGTTTTATCAACAAACAACTTGCAATTTTGTTTTACAATATGTTTACATAATTTGAAATAACAAACCATGAAAATGTGTCACTATCGCGGTACCGGCCCACGTCAAAAAACGTCAGCGACGTCGCAGCGTCGTTAGTGTTTAAGGAAAAGCGCATGACATTCACTATTTTTCAAAGTACGAGCCAGAACATGCAATGCAACGTTCATGCCTCTTAGGCCACTGAGAGAAGAATATATTCATGTAATACTCTGCTGGATAATGACGTATTAGGGTGTTTGTCGCTGACTGTAACTCCTCCAAATTCTCAAAGCGCTGGCCCTTCAGCTGGCGTTTCAAATCTGTGAACACAGAGAAATCAAACGGATAAGCAAATATTAAGGGATTTTGTAAAATTATTTAAGTTTTCGATACATTGTTTATGAATTACGCAGCTCGTTTGAAACAAATGTGTATCCGTGCATTTTATTGTTTATAACAATACGTGCGAAATCATAAATTAGCGCGGAAAATTTGAATTTTTATATTCGAAACTGAATAGGTTGTAGAGTGATTAAAACAAAAACAAAACATAAGTTAAAGCACATAAAATACCTTTCACATGTTCAATTTCTTGGTGATAATTGTGTGCGTGGTTCCATAGCTCATCCCAGTTACTTCTGATATCTCTAGAACGGTCACTCTTGCGTCCTCCTTGATAATATCTTAAATTGACGTCACACATTGACGCTCGACCTTCTCCCACGTCCTTCATCATCTTCAAGTGACTTCAGCCCTTCAGAGAATCGCCGGAACCACTTAAAAACGAGTGCTCGAGAAACAGCATTCTCTCCTCTGGTCCTCTGCAGCTTTTTATATGTGTCTGTAGGCGTTTCACCTAATTCCGTGCAGAACTTTATGTTGGCACGCAATTCAAAGCAATTATATATAAAAATAGCACCTGGGCCGGTAACGCGTTACTATATTTACAATTATGCTAGTTATTTTGCTCTGAGTAATGCATGACTGATTTACAGCTCCTTGTAAATGACAAAGAGATAGGTCACGACAGTGACATAAATAAAAATATTTTATATGGGTCCGTTTCAAATATATTGAACCAGTCTACGTAATTCTTGATCACCCCTTGTACACTTCTCATAAGATAACGAGTGTTGATTAAAGCTTCTCAGAGCATTTGAAACGGTTTGAATAATTAAATACATTTGTAAACAAATTGTATTTGCACCTATAATTCAGATACAATAAATGTTTGTCGTGATATGAATGTCAAATGTTTCATAAGCAGAGAGGAAATGGATTTTATGCACAAAGGCGCTGTTTTATGCAAACATGTAAATGTTTGCCGTCTAGGAACTATCTCACTTAGTCTATTGTTCACAAGGTAAGGTATTGATGGAAGCCTAAGAATACTAGACTCAATCTGTATAAAGGGTTTACATGCCTTTGTAAAATATCAAAATGATCAAAATTAAGCATTATTGAGTAGAGACCTAGGTCAGACTGCATGACTTTGTAAGCTGGTGTAACTAGCCTCTTACTGATTAACAATACAAACAGAACGACGCTTATTGGTTATATGCTTTTATTTTTGTCTGTTTTATTTCGAAACTGACCATTGTATATTTGCATAAGTTCTTAAGTATATTCTGATAGATCTTCTTATTGAATATGAGGTTAACAATTCAATGAATTTATGAGAAAAAAATCGTTATATTATATGCTCGAGAATAAATGTGAACTTATATATGTTTTCTTGATAATATTTACTTGTCTTATGTGATATACATTTGGTACGGCGCATTTTTTTGCCACACAGTCATTGTAGAAACATTGCAAATTTTATTTATCTTCGATATATTTACAAATTTAGTAACCTCCTTGTTGTTTTCAAATATTTAAATCAAATAATCACTTATACTTTCTTGTTAGTTTTATATCAGTCAAATACATTGGTCATATTTTGTATATGAATTTGACCGAACATGTGGATCATGTTTTCTAAACATTGTTACATTTAGGTAATACGGTAAAAAGATAGTGGGTCAGGTAACTTCAAATTTTTGTTTTCTTATGATATCATTAATGTTTTAGTTCTTAATAAAGAGTTTGTAAAATGAATTATTATGCCCCCACAATGTGGGAGCATATAGCGTTGCACTTGTCCGTCCGTCCGTCAATCCGTCAGTCAGTCTGTCCGTCCGTACGTCCCGAAATCTTGTGAACGCAACTCCTCTTAAACCGGATAGCAGATTTTGCTTAAACTTACAGGGATGATCAACCTTAATGTGTAGATGGCAGTAAAGGAAGGAATTTTCCCTGCGACCAAATTTAACAAAATTATGGCCCTTTGTTGATTTTTTCACTAGATACTATGTGGAAATTTTGTGAATGCAACTTCTCTTAAACCGGATGGCAGATTTTGCTTAAACTTACAGGGATGAACAACCTTAATGTGTAGATGGTAGTAAAGAAAGGAATTTTTGCTGCGACCAAATTTAACAGAATTATGGCCCTTTGTTGATTTTTTGACTATATACTATGTGGAAATTTTGTGAACGCAACTCCTCTTAAACCGGATGGCAGATTTTGCTTAAACTTACAGGGATGAACAACCTTAAAGTGTAGATGGTAGTAAAGGACGGAATTTTCCCTGCGACCAAATTTAACAGAATTATGGCCCTTTGTTGATTTTTTCACTATACACTATGTAGAAATTTTGTGAACGCAACTCCATTTAAACCGGATGACAGATTTTGCTTTAACTTCCAGGGATTAACATCCTTAATGTGTAGATGGCAGTAAAGGAAGGAATTTTTGCTGCAACCAAATTTAACAGAATTATGGCCCTTTATTGATTTTTTCATTATATACTATGTAGAAATTTTGTGAATGCAATTCCTCTTTAACTTGATGGCAGATTTTGCTTAAACTTCCAGGGATTAACATCCTTAATGTGTAAATGTTAGTAAAGGAAGGAATTTTTGCTGCAACTAAATTTAACAGAATTATGGCCCTTTGTTGATTTTTAGATTTCAACTTGTGGCACATGTAGTCCAAAAAATATTTGACCTAGAGTCTTAAGATTGACAGAACAGTGGTGTGTGGGGGGCATCCGTGTCCTATGGACACATTTCTAGTTTTTTGCTTGATTTTGAATTTTGAAATTCTTAGGGTTATGGAAGGCCGCTTCCTAGCATTGTCTATTGACAATATCGAGGACGACTTGAACATCAATGTATATACTCAACAAGTTATTAACGGTAAGAAAATTTATTATTCAGGGATATACAATTATTTACTGTCTAACTGGAGATATTTAATTATAAGTCACCGCTCGATTGTCAATGCTCTTGACCTGATTATTAGTTCATAATGGAATGAATGAATAAATTTTAAATAAGAAAAGAAAAAGAAAAATACTACATTTTTTGATAAATAATAAATAGAATTTATTAAAATGCAAAACTGATTTGACTCACCTGACTCTTGATTGGTGTTTGTTAGCATTGGTTCAAGCCTTCAAAGGACTTTAAAATAGTAGATGACTTATTTAAGATAAAAGATTTGACAGGTGTAAATTCTAATTTAATGCAATTTAATGTGATTAGGAGTATTAAATTATGTTAATGAATTTCATTGTAGTTTAACAGGTCCTCAAAATGTGATATAATCCATGAACGGGCATCTTGTAACATACTAACATAACGTGTTACATAATAATAAAATCTTCAGAGTTCAGAAGAAGAAGAAGAAGAAAAGTTTATTTCCAACTTGTACACACACGTACTAGTACCTCGTTGTTTCAAGTTATAATATAATAAAATTAACAATGTCACAATGACTAGGAGCTATTATGTTCAGACATATTCATAGAGTGCACGACAACATTGACTGTACAATTTAAACCACTTTATGAATATAGAAGTTCGTCACTGAGATACGTCTGTTGTTGACTTATAAAAAGTCAATATTATACACTTTACTTAGAATGTGAATAATAGCAATATATTACTATAATTGCTTTAATGGTATTGATTAATTAAATCAACATAAAGTGCGACACATAAACAAAACAATATCGAATACTCCAACAATTTATAGTATATAAATCTGATTACGTAAAACAATTTACGAAACGTGTTTCATTAATGTACGAATATTCCCAATAATGAACTAATGTCAAAAAGAAATCTTTTAAAGATTAAAGCAGTTCATTTGAACAATTTTAAAATTTATCTAGATTTAATAAATCAGAAAATGAAAATTAACCTAACCTTAGCTGTAATGTCCCATGACAGTTCAGGGGTTTAAATAAACTTCTCTCAATAAGACTCGGCTATGTATGTCCAAAATTGTCATACAACACGGTCATTTATATCATCATATCATATATAAGAGTATTAGGGTGCCAAATTTATCAGTTAACAGAAGAAAAACAAAACTCTTTCGAAAGAAAAGTTTAAAGAAATAATAATATCAATATATTTAGGACGCTTCATTTCATCATTTTCAATTATAACTACTTTATCGGGTATAAATAGAGCTCAAAGCTGCGGACAGTCAAATTAAAATAGATTATATATGTTAAATGTAGTATCAACATAAAAGTTTGCTGTAAATTTCAATAGGAAAACTATTTAAATGTTAAATTAAATTTAATCAAATGTTATATTCAAATATTTTAATGTTTTGTAAAGTTATACATGCCTGCGAAATGGACTTTTTCGGGATCTCATTGCAACGGAGACAATGTTGTATAAAGAGCACATTGAATGCTTATTAAATAACAATTATCACGCTGACTTTTTTATATATTGAAAATTACATCATAATTGAAGTTTGTTTTAAAATTCAATAGGATTTATTTTTAATTCTTAATGTTTTAAAGAATTTTATCATTATATATGCAGGCAAAATGGACATATTCTCGGCACAACAGTGATATCTTTCTTTACTTCTGTCTTTGTCTTAAATTTATTTAATTCCAATCATTTCATTTTACTTGTTATCCAATATATTTTGCTTCGATCAGACCTTTCAATCTTTGTCACAACAGACAAACATTTCAGAATTTAAGACATGACATTTTTTGTGAATTTATACATTAGGTACTACTGTTTCACAAAAATATGCAACTTATTTAACAACGAAAACATACCAAAAAAACATTGATAAGTGCTTCGACCAGAGAACAATTGTCAAGGCTGATTTTGTACATAACCTTTGACTGTTCGCATAATTTGGCGGCGTCTTTGATGTGTAGCATCAACATTAAACTTGTTGTCATTTGATATGTATATTTATGAAACTAGTCTAGGAAAAATGCCATCCAGAGTTTTGATAACAATATTGCACTCGCATTATACTTATCGCACATACAGGTCATCCATGCTAACCATAGTTTAGTCGCGCAAATATGTTCTTATGAAATTTCGAAGATGACAATTTTGTATAACAACATGTACATGTATTATATATTAATACAATATTTTAGATGAAATGGGAATTTGTAATAATGACCTTGGTATGAGCGATATGAGTATCAAAGACAGTCAAATTTCGGCATCGTCATCTTCTTTAGAGTACACACCAAACAAAGCTAGACCTCTTTCCTCCGGATGGTGCTCAGAACAAAACGACGATTTTCCATATATAAAGGTTGAGTAAATTGTTACACGCATTTTACATTTAATATTACTATTGCATTGTTTATAGATCATAAAAAATATTTTAGGATCCTCAATACACTTTTAGAAATTATGTAATGTGAGCCATGTTCTCAAAATTTGTTACTCCTACTAGATATAGTATTGCGCTTTTTTTGACTGACGACTTACAAAAAATTGTTCGGTTTAAGATTAATATACATATCTTGATCAAATTATGTATATAGACCTTTTACGAAGCTCTAAAATTACTATGATCATTTCTATTGA